TTATATATATATATATATATATATGCATACACACACACACACACACTCAGTAAGTAAACTCAAATTGTGTATTGCACAATGTTTGTATGTATATATATGGGCAGGCAGGAATTGGCAACAAATATAAATGCCGATAACATGAATATATCGTGAGATTAATTTCTATTATGGATGCTTATGACAATAAAAATTACACTGCTGTCTCAATAAACCTTTGGAAGGAACTAAAATGTGTCAAATTTACAGAATCAAACTCAAAATTTTCATCATTAATAATCATAGTTGAAACACTGACCCACATTTCGATTATGCACATGTAGGCCAAAGGCTAACATTAGACAGATACAATCAATCGAGTCTAGGAAACGTGGAAGGCCTAGTTACCATGAGAAAAACAGGAAAATCCACAAGTTAAACAGAACATAATAATAACTGTAAACAAAATTTTATGAAAGTTTTGATCAGTACAAAACAGAATAACAATAAATAAAATATGGCTAGTTTTGTCTCTCTCCAGGTCAATACAAACTACGAGTATGAACGAAAATACATATCAGTGGTGTGTACATGTGCAGTGCTCAGGCACTGTGTATGCATTACAGTATACTAGTATGTGTGAGGGTTCCGATGCAAGTCTAGTCTTACTACAGGCTGTACAATACAGGCAGGCCAAGATCACTGTTCAGTTTAAAATTTTTACAGATTATTGACTGTTTGTTTCCTTAAGATACTATGTAAAATTAGCATAGTTTGGGCTAATTTTTTTCCAATGTAACGAAACTTCCCAAGAAATAAAGCATCAAAAATAGTTGAATAAAGATACAAAATTGCCAACTAAACATTAATTGTACTTTTTAGAAATAAAGAAGATATAAAAACATTAATTCTTATAATTCAATCTTTTTTAGAGTCTTTGTACATCAATATTGTTGTAATTGGATCATTTTTAGAGTATGTTTTTTTTTGAACAACAATACAGCTTCTTGGAGAACCGTATTAGATAAAGTATATTGTGTTAATGGTTGCTAGTGTGGATTTGTTTTGATAAAAGCACACCTGCCTGGGGAACACTCACCACAGAGTGGAATCCTGTGAAAAAGAGGAAATAGACCCTGGAAAGTAAAGAAGAAACAATATTAGTAATTAAGATACACCTCTTTATAATCTAGCAGATGTGGTTAAGACAGATCATGCAAATAATGTTAGATAAAAGTATTCGGGGAAGTCCACATACCAGCCCTCACAATGTCCTCCAGAGGGCAATTCAAATAAACTAAGAACACAAAAATGTGACGAATCTCGTGATACATGACTCGCAGAATTCTCCATGCTTCCAAAGAGAGCCCAGAATAAGTAATACAGATCAATTTTCATACCCACCTCATTATGGTAACTGGGGATAAATCCCGAGAAACTGAAGGATCCCAGTGAATAAAAAGTTGTTGTCTAGTGCTTCTAAAGGTGTTAGTGCAAGCAACGTGACACTTCAAGACCCTCACTGGACATAAAAAACAATTGGGATGCAATTGGTCATAGAGGTGAGAAATGGCAGTCAGATGAATTGGTGAAAAGGATTTATCCCCTTCCCTGGCTGCCAGTGTCTTAGGTAAGAAGGATCTGTCTGGGTATAGGAGAACATAAGTAGAGTGATAAAGCATCCTGTGCACATCTCTGACTAACGATGTGTGCAGGCCAGCAGCAACAAAAAATAAGGGAAAGGTGATACATGGTACATGAGGCTAAGGGCTCAAACGGATATCAAGAAAGAGCATGTAATACCACCTTAATATCCCAGTTAGGTAACCGAAATGGTCGTTTGGGATGAAGGACCGAAAACGACTTGAGGACTGGGGACTCATATAATTTTCATCTCTTCAAGTATCTAAAGGTAGTTGATAAGGCTGCCTTATATAAGGCGACTGTGGAAGTTGCTAAACCCTTGTCAAAGAGCCAGGTCAAAAAAAGAGCTATGGTTGGAACTTCTGGGCAGAGTGGGTTCAACCTCCTTGCAATACACCATTGTCAATACATGTGCCATGTTTGTTGATAAATGTCCATCGTGGGACTATGCAGAGATTGAGATGGATACATGGCAACCTTAGAAGTTAAACCTCGATGCTGTGCAAAGGAATGCATAACCTCTGTGCATGAAACTTCAGCTTCGAGGTGGCTGGGTGTACGACGACGGATCATGGCTGCCTGGACAGAGATGGCCAAAGAGGAAGTGAAAGGGGTGGGCACTCCTGAATGTACCACAGAAGCGTAAACCAGGGTTGAGCCTACCAATCAGGTGCTACCAACAAAACATGACGAGAGGTTGAACATATCATAGCTACGACTCTGGGTAACAGATGAATCAATGAGAAGGCATAGAGGTGTAATCCTGTCCAGTGCTGACTGAATGCATTTATTGCCCATACCCAAGGGTGAGGTACTGAAGACCAAAATTGTAGGATGATATAATGGGAGTATGCCCAATAAAGAAGATCCAAGGTTCAAAAACAAAGAGACCTGGAGCAAGTACCCCCTTGATGGAAATGTAAGATACCACCATAGAACTGTCAAAGTGAAGCATGATGATTTTTCCCCTCAATACTACAGACCTTGAGACATAGCCCTTTGAACAGCAAAAAGTTCTAAAAACATTGATGTGTAGGGAAGCCTCGTCATCCGTCTATAGGCCCTGGAATTCATGACCATTGAGATATGCACCCTATTACTGAAGCAATGCATTCGTGAATAGATGGACCTCTGGACAAGGTGGCAGCAGAGGAACACCTATCGTAGTATTGTTCTGAACTAACCACTACTCGAGATCGAAGATGTTGATCCTGAATAAGGGGACTGGGAAATCTAGTGGATCACTGTTCGTGATTCATTGGTGTGCTCGTCCCATAGAATGAAGGATTCGAGTGATACCCACATCCCCAAAAGAGAAAGAACCATCCACTGTAGCCCAACTGAGATATGTGTTGAAAAAGACACCCAGATGGACGATATATTTTAGTGGAGTGAGAATAGATTTCTCAGCTCTGATAATCAAGTCCATCTTGGTTGCTTCTGAAAGTACAATCTGGGTGTGATGTTCCACCAACTGATGAGATGATGCCAGCAGTAATCAGTCACCCATGTAATGGTGTGTGCACAGGCCTAGTGAATGGAGGTGATGAGAAAAAGCTTGTACGATTCGGCAAAACACGTATGGTGGTGATGCAAGTCTGAAGGGCAGGGCCCTGAACTGCAGCATCTGACCAGTGTGCACATAGTGGTGGGATGACTCTGCTATGGGAACTTGCAAATTGACATTAGCAACACTGAACTTGGTCATCCACAGCCCCGGCAAAAAATGCCAATGCAGAGTGAGAGATGATTCAATCATGAACCTTTGAGGATTTAGGAATTGATTTAGATGAGAAAGATCAATGACCAGACACCAATCTCCTGTCTTCTTGGGTACAACAAACACCAAAATAAAACCCTAGAAGAACAGAGACGACTCTCTCCATCTGCAAGAGGTGGAAACACTACAGATGGGGAGATAATGGTAGTGGAGATGTGAACTGAATGACTAATCCTGATGCTAGGACCTGTGGTACCTATGGATCAGTGGTAAAGGTTTTCCACACATCTAGAAAATCTCGGAGCTGAACCCACACAAACCCCAAAGGCATATGGTAGTCACCGCCGCTGCTGGTGGCATTCCAACCATATGGAGAAACCTCATTGGTATTGTCACAATCTATTTTGGTTACCAATGGACCAAGGAACTGATGTTGGGGGTCAAGACACTTGAATAGGGGGTGGAACTATGACCCACCTTTGGGAGCCGAGTGAAGTCAAGAAGCCAACAAAAACATGGATGAATGCAGATGGGCAACATCAACCAAACATCATAGTGCTCGAAAATTAAGACATTGAGAAATACCAGCATTATTTAAACTTGATTTTTGTTTATACAAGAAAGCAACCCATGTACTATGTATTTTATATTCAATAAGTCGTGGGCTTCAATAAATGATTTATGTGAAGATAATAATATGCCACTTTAGATTATAATTACTTGCATAATTACTCATTTTTGTTTACCAGTTCTTTGCCCACCCTTACTAGTATACACTCTCACATTTTTCGATCAAAAACACATGCTATTAATACCACCCATTGTATTCAAAGTGACTGATTTGACTAACCAGATATCTGGATGATCTGAAAAAATAACTTCATTATAAATGTGCTCAGATTAATGAGGTTTCACTGTAAATTCAACTACAATGTTTTTTATGAATTTTTTTAGTCCTTTTTAACTCATAATATCATAAATTAATTTAGGTATGTGAATAACATTATGCCATTTAATATTCAATATTATACAGCAATCAATGATTTAATGATTATATTACAGATTACTTTTCTTTCATCAAAAGTACATTTGAAAATATAGTCAATGACATAGTCCTAATTCCTTCTTTGATTTCCTGCTCCCTCTGCTGTGGACTACAGTTTTGCCTATTCAAGGCTCATCATCACAGCTTGGGTCAGCAATCCAAAGAAATACTTGGTGGCCAACAAGTCAACCTTCTAATATTAAGCTCAAACTAAGTTGCTATATAAAAAGTTTCCACAAGGTTAATAACCTCTGGCTAAAACAAGGACTTGTCCAATTAAAGTAACTACATGCATGTTACAGAGCTTTAGTTTTTGTCTGTAATAATAGCTCTTTTTCGTATCTACTATTAGATGTATTATTTTACTTGTCTACATAAAATGACACTACTTGGGAAAAAAACTGTCAATAAAGTGCATCATGGAACACAAAAGGAAATGTTTAACACAGTACGATTCTTATTGTGACATATAATGAATCTTTACCTAAGCAGTTATAACAATAATTAGCTTTATAAAAAATATTTTATCTCATATCTTAAGTAAAATATCAATTTTTTTTATGCAGTTCAAACTTTTTACAGAGCCCATTCTTGTAATTTATATTAGTGACTTATCTATTCACAAGATTCTAAAAAACATTACAAAAATATATACATAAAAATACTGCAAAATGACCTTCACACACTTGTTTATTAAAACAGTCAACATGCTTCACAAGTCAATCATCACAAATTTATTCCACATCATCTATATGACCATTTCAGCTCTAACTTCTAGAGTTTAGTTTCTAGCTTGATCATGTCACCCGAATCTAGTCTATAAAAAATAAGGTTATGATTTTAAGCATAAAACAAGCTTTATTATTTGGGCATGTTGTGATGTTAATTCACCAGATGCTGCCTAGTTTATAAAAACTGTTTACTTAGGAACTAAATTCACAATTTCCCAATTTATATTGCAACAATAAAATGTAATAAATGTTTAAATGCATAAATGTATTTAATCCTGTAAGGGCAAACTGTGAAAATGAAACCAGAATAATGTACGTTACGTCTTATAATGCTTTCAACTCAAGAAACGCATTATGATTTGATTTCTGTTTATTTTAATTCTATGCTATTTCACTATGAAAACAAAAGATACCTATTTATTTTTAGTGTTACATGACTAAGTTAAAGAAGAATCATTATTTTGAGGAAAGGAGAGGGAATTCAGGGATAATTTTCTCTAATTACAAAAAAAAATAAGGAAAGCAATTTTTATTTGATTAATCCATAGATTGATTAATTTGAAAAACAGGGAATTAGAGTAATGTACAAACACTAGTAAGACTGGTAATAAAGCCTGTTGACCGATTGGAATTGTTTAATGACTCTCATAACTTTTATTGATGCATTAGGTCTTCAGCTCTTCATTTTCAAATCTTAAATTAAGGATGTTATAATGGGCAAATCATGTAAAACATAAATAGGAGTACTCACCATAAAGTTCAATAAGTCAGCAGTTAGATCTTGAGAAAAACATGGTGGAACTCTTGAATCAGGAAAACAGGCATACTGAAATTCATTAACTTGACAAACATACACTGCTCAAATTGTCTGAAACAAAAATAATTTTCTTTGTGTACATGGTATTTTTCTTTTTCCTTTTCTATAAAAACCATCATAGTACTAACTGTGTATGATAGATCTATCATGACAGCAGCTAAACAATGCCAATTTGCTTTCATTTTCAACATCTACTCATCTGATTTAAATATTAAACATCTATTTTACATTAAGTGTCCAAAGAAATCCTAGAAACTTTCTTTAATATTAAAATTAAACAACATAATTAATTTCAACACTTTAAAATTATAAAACAAATAAAAAAAAATATTCCCTAAAAATTATACCTTAAAGTACTACATACTGGGCTTTTACAGCTGACTCACAAAAAATAAAAATAAAATCAACTTCAAGGCTTTTTCTATGACTTTTAATTAAAAAAAAACACAGTTTTCCAGAAATATGTATCTTAACCACAACACGTTGCTTTTCATTTGTCTGTCATGATTCCAATAACACAAGTTTCTTAAACATAAAAACATGTTTTCTACAAAGATGTACATCATGTCATATAACATACTAGGCAAACCACATTTATCAAGTTATATCATACATTTAAAAATCAACATGCACAAATGTTACAGTGGTAAAGCCACAGGGAGCACAAAATATGTAGCAATTGTTTACTTTGATCTACAAGAAAGTCTAATGTTAGATGAGAGATTGCATGAAACTTTAGAACCATGGATAAACAAGTACTGAAAATACATTTGGAGAAAATAAATATTACTATCAAGACTATTTCTAGACTAAAAAATATATAATTTCCAAAGCTTTTCCACATTTTCAAGGCCCTATATGAACCTTGCATATTAGTTGTGGAAATACCAAAAAAAAAAAAAAAAATATTGATAGTTTTCAAACACTATATGACTGATGAAATTACCAAAGACATAAGGTGAGCTGACAGTTAAACTTCAAATTCTCAGATTTAGTAATAATAGTTACATTCATTAATTATATTCAGCAACAATTAAGCAGATAAACATAATTATGCATGGTTCACACAGACTTTACAAAAAAAAAGTTCCAGGACTTTTTCCAAAACTCTTGAATCCTTGAATTTTTGTTAATCATATGTATCTGCCAGCAGAAACTAACAGTCTCAAGGCCCAGAAGGCATGAGATTTACATGGCAGCCATAAAATATAAACAATCCCTATTATATACCTTTTTTTTTAATTAAGCCAATTATTTCATGGATTTAAAAAAACTCAAATTTCAGGACTTTTTCAGAACCATGGCTTAAAAAGAGTAATTTTCCAGGATTTCCAGTACTGAAACTTTTAGAGCTAATTTTTAATGACCTCCCACTATCCCAAGGAATCTAAGTGAAAACTGATAATGCGTACTGAATATTAAAGCTCAACCTTAGTCATCTATGAGAAACATTACACATCTCTAAATTTTGACTTAGGTGTCTATTTTGACATTACAGTCACTATCTAATCTTTATTTTAAATATCAATTCCTATACAAAAATGAAAACTGGAATATCATCTTGTTTAGAACCAAATGTTAGCTTTAAGCCTAAACTTGTTAATTTGTCTTTGGTATGTACTAGCTCCTTCATCTTAAATATAACACAAGCATTCAATCACAATATAGGAATAGATCAAACTCACATACTGACCATGGCCTTGGAAGTGACCTATAAAGACCATGAAAGTCTACTGTTCTGCTACGTAAAATACAACTATCAAAAGTTTCTACATATTTAAATACAATAATGTACAAATTATAAGTGAATGTTATATCAAACAACGTGTTGGAAACAAACTTATAAATTTTGCTTAAAAATATCAGAACCTCAAACAATACATATACTAAGAGAGTCCAACTACTATTTCATAGACTGGGTAGATTAAAAAAAATTTAATTTAAGTACTCACTTGTTGAAAGATAAAATTTATCACTGACTTCGATGACTGCAGTGGCCATGAAAGGACTCCACCTTCATTGTGCACAAGCAGGAACAATTACCACTTTTAACTGAGAGAATAATAAGCAAGAATAGAAAAAGGTTTGTGGAAATTTTTCCCTTTTATGAGTAACAGAAAATTTATTCATGAACTGCTTGTACTTCTAAATTATCAAGATCCATAGTTCAGCCAGTATTTCAAGTATTAATAGATAATACCAATGACGCTCCTGTAAAAACAAATAAAAAAAGTGTTTTAGTTGGGACAGCTATCTTCTTTTTATAATGAACAGTAAGTTTCATTTAAAAATACTGTTAAACACTACAACATATATATTTAAACAAAATTATTTTATACTGCTTTATGTTTGAAAATCTTAAACTATAGCTTTGTTGTTAAAACTGGAGTGTATCACAAAAACCTCTGGTTTTTGAGAATCACTGAGAAATATATTATTACATTCATTTTACCTTTCTTTAATGTTCTGACAAATATACTCTACAGATAGTTTGGATGAGATTTAATGTAACTTTTAACTTTATAAATATATGTAGATGCATTTCTACTGCAATTTTAGAGAAAGAAGAAAGTGAAGCATGGAATGGACTGTTTTAATACTATTTATATTGAACTCAGCAGCTTATTATTAACATGGGCAATAAATACTCTTTTAAAGTTATTTGATTGTGAATTAATTTCAATTCAAGTATTTTTATGATCTAGTCGATCTATACTTTACTAAGATGGGTAATCAATGTAATAAACTTTGGAATGTAAATGAAAACTTTTGCACAACATAATTTTTATTAACGTCTGGACTGTGCGATTAGTATTAGTATATAAGCTATATGTGTATCATCCCACTCGGTTTTTACAGAAATCCCTCTCTCCCAACCTCATTGGAGGGGTGATATAAAAATAATTTTCCCAGGCTGTTTCTAATCCTCACTCTACCCATAAGTGTAGCTCAGTTATATCCTTCAGTGAAAATTAAAGTAGCCAATACAAACATTGACTGACATCACAAAAGTAATTATACATTGTTGCTCTATTAAGACCCAATTCTAGAGAAATTTAATAAATCAATCCTTTAGAATGCTTTCATCTATTTGATTCATACTATGACTACACAGGCCTGCAAATTTAAACTTCATAAAAGTTGTTTTGGTTTTAATAAAGGATTTTCCATAATTCAGCTGTTCAGATTTCTGAAAGAATATTCTTTTTCTTTTATCACAAACTGGGAAGAAAGAAACAACTCTTACATAGATCAAAGTATTATTTTGTTTACCACAATGAATACATTTTCTATGTTCTTTAATCTCAAACCTGCACGTTGTGGTCTTTCTTTTATGTATTGCATCTGGAGCATCTCGTTTCAATGACCAGCAGTAACCAGCCATCATGCTGATGTTCCACCTTCCTCGATACCTCCTCTCCATTTCCCTGTTGAAACCTTTGTTCTTCGCTGATGATACTCAGATTTTCAGAGAAATAGTCAACATGTGAGTGTAAGAAATGAACTTTCAAACTCATACTACAACTCAACTCTTTGAATTTATTGAGCATGTTATTGACAATATTTTCATAATTTGGGTCCTTGTTGTTTCCTAAAAATTTGTCAATAATATCTTTAAAGGCAATCCATGCTTCTTTTTCAACTTTCCACATTGTCCTTTCGAACTGTTCATTCAAAGTCAATTTCGTGATCTGAGGCACAACAAAAATCCCTTCTTTAAGTTTCACTTTTTAAAGTATTGGGAATTGCCCACATAGATACTTGAAACAGTCGTCATCTTTGCCTAAGGCCTTTACAAACTACTTCATTAAGGCCAGTTTTATATGAAGTGGAGGTAATAGGACTTTTTGTGTCAACCAAACTTTCACATTCAGTGTTTTTCGATCCTGGTATCAGGCTGACTGTACATAGCTAGTGCTTCTTTATCCAGTGCTGATTTCATGCTCTGCTGTTCCATTCACACAAAAAACATGGAAACTTTGTATAACCGGATTGTTGACCCAACAACGTACAAAGGACTTTTAAGTCTTCACAAAATAGCCAACCATGTTCTTTGTCTTTATTAAGAAAAAGTTCAATATTTTCATAGATTTCCCTCAAGTTAACCGAATGAGCAATAGGAACAGATGCATATATGTTACCATTGTGAAGGAGAACATTTGTTAGACTTCTTTTGGAGGAATCATTGAACAATTGCCACTCACTTGGTTCATAGGCTGCAACTCCTAGCATTGGTATTAATTAAGTAATATTGTTGCAATAAGCCATTGAACCTTTTTGCGAAAAGTATGGTATAAACTCTTTCTCACGATTTCTGTACCAGTAAAATGATGTCCCTGGAGAAAGTGAGTTATTTGTCCGAAGTCTGGACCCAAAAATCTCTGAAGAATCCTTTGGAAGGCCCAAATCTCTTACCAAATCATCAAGTTCACCTTGTGTGAAAAGTTGTGGTTTACCTGACATTTCAGTTTGAAAACAATCCCTATCATCATTTCTACAGACATCAGATTCAGATGAAACTATATCAAGTCTCTGGTGGAGTACGTACAGGTACATCAGGTCCATGAGCAACAGGTCTTATAGCAGATTGAAAGTTTGGATAAGAAATTTCCTTTTAATTTCAAGTGTTGTAGCCTTACACGTCACGAGTACAAATCGCAGTCATCTCCGTGGTTTCTAGGCTCATGCCAGACCATTGAAATTCAAAAAGGCAAAGACTTTTCTTACCTTTAGTCCATTGTCTTAACTCCTCGACACAAACTTTGTGCAGATCACATGATCCCCAAGTTTTATTCAAAAATGCACGTAATATGCTTTTTTGATGAATTCTGTAATGTTTTGCCTTTGCCTGTTTACAATAAATTTCTCACAAATATAACAGAATATGTTTGGGTCATTTACACCTCTTATTGCCATAGGAACAAATAAATAATACTAAAAAGAAAAAAATAAAGTGTACGTACAAACCACCCAGAAATGACACGTCATGCGGCCTATTAATCATTTATTTACTAGCGGTATGTTTCTTGTTGGTTCTAGAACAATTGATAAGATTGACTTCGCGATTGGTCTAGATAAATCTATAGCCAGTGGTTGTCAACATTTTAAGCATAACAAAACGTGACCCGATTTCAATGAAAATGATTCACTTATGTAAAAGTACATAAGTGATGGAGAAAAATGGATATAATTTTTGGAATCACAATACAGGAATTACTGTAGAACATGTAAAAATTTCAAGACAATAAAATCATCGCAGCCTGTATTATCAATACTTTAGTAAGATTAACTCAATTTTTCTTTTATTTATACATTTTTACAGTGACACCTCATCATTACTTTATAATTTCTTTTAAAACATTTTAAAATTCACTGTTTTGCAAAAATAATATTTATTGTTTTTTAATGATATCACTATGTTATAGATTTAACAGATCATATATTGTTTATGTAATGTCCTGATTGACATAAACAATGCTAAATTATGATTATGATTTTTCTACTAACACAAAGAATGGCAATTATCTAACCTGCTGACACACATGAAGGTAAACCTTTTTATTATTTTTAATATGGAATATATTTATGTAAATTATACAACAGCATCTGGGCAGAAGCACCAGAGCCAGATGTAGACTTCTGTAGCTTTGCCTCATGGTTATGATAGAAATACAAAACCATATCTCAGTTATATAATATAAAATATAGTTTATAATAAAAAATATTAAATGTATAATAATAAATAAAAATGATGAATATAGTTCAAAACTTGAGAAATTTAGTTTAACTATAGAATATAGTTTATAATAATAACAAAATATATAATAATAAGTAAATATCTGTTATATAATATAGAATGTAGTTTATGATAAAAAAAATAATAAAATCATATAATACTAAGTCAATGAAAATAATAAATATAGTTTAACATGCACGAGAAATTTAGTTTACCTATATTAGCAGCATACTATACAGAATCAACTAATTATAAGTCTACACACCCTCGTGAGAAGCACATCACTAATAAACTCATCAATTTTATTGCTGGTACACTGCAACCCTATCAGTGGTGGAATCAACAGATTTTCAAGAACTAATGACAGCCATGGATTTTTGGCATATTCTTCCCAGTCACAAGCATTTGTCCATGATTTTGATCAAGAGCAGGTTTGAAGTTTTCCAACAAAAAGTCATCTCTCTAATGCAACTTGCATCCAAAATTAATGTCGCTATGGATATCTGATATAGCAGACAAATAGGCAGCTTTCTTGGAGTCACCGGTCATTTTATACTTGACTAGAAAACTCAAGCAGTCATGCTGACATGTTGGCATTGCAAGAGACATCACACATCTAAGAACATTGTATCTCAATATGATGAAATAATAAAACTCTAACATCAACATCAAAGTGTCATATGTGACATCTCATAATGCATTCAACTTGATCAAGGCTTTCTGCTTGCCTGAATTTGAACTGCAAACACTACCAAGTGTGAGAGCTCATCTGCAGATAATGACTCAAAAGGTAAACTTTTGTATGAATCTAAATCAGCAAACAATTTATCTGAATTTTTTCCTGAACATGACTCCTACTTTCCCACACACTACAGCTTGTGGTCAGGGATAATGTAAAAAAAGCTGGACCACAATGAGAGTAATTTCCAAAGCATCAACCACCATGTCCTACAATTGAAAATCAATGCAAGTAACTGATCTACTTGAGGAACAGGCCAGAGTTCAGTTGATAACACTAACATGATGGAACTCAGAAATTAAGATGATTAAGTCTTAACTAAAGATTCCCCAGGAGAAGTTGGATAATCTAGATACTAGTACATTGAAACTTACTTTTCATGATCGATTTGGTGACAACACTGACACCTTTTGAAGAGACAAAAGATTTTGCCCGGGGTCAGAACATTGTTACCTCCACTTATGTAGTGCCATGTGTTTATGGGCTGATGACCGAGATTGAAAGCATTTAATCCAGATATAATTTCAATCTTATCTCTGCAATGAAGAAATCTGTTCATGCCAGGGTGACTCAGTATGAGCAACGAAGTATCTTCTGCTTCGCTGTGGCATTGGATCCAAGATTTAAACTTGATTAGTGTTTCACTAGACCTATGGTCTATGAATCTAATCAAATGCTCCTGCAGCAAGAAAGTTTCCTCAACAAATAATCCTACAACCATGGAACCAAAAGAGA